TCTGGCATTTTCTTTTAAGAAATTTGATTGCCATTGTTTTCCTCTCTGAATATTCTTTGAGGTCTTTATTTTGGTTAAAGTTTCTTACTATGCTTTGGTAGGCTTAAATTACCCTCTATTCTAGTTTTTGTGTGATGACTTTGGAACTTGATTCCATGTTGATGAGTGCTTGTGTATAAGCTACTGTTCTGAAGATTGATCTTCGTTGTTGAAACTTGAGAAGAGCTCAATTTCATCATGGTGATGCTCTGCACTTGAACCTTGCTGTGAGGACTTGAAGTTCAACCAAAGAAGATAGAGTTGTCATATAGAAAACAAGTAGTGTTTTGCAACTTTGGTTATCTTGCTTTGTATTTGAACTCATAAGTATTTCATAGTGAATTTACTTCCTTTGGACTTGGTCCCATAGATGTAAGCATGATGCCGAACCATGTAAAAATGAACAAGTAACCCATTCCGCATAAGTTTTAATCGCTTGGTAACCTCTTTAAAACTTATAGTTTCTATTTTAAAAGAACTTCTGACCTGACATATATTTTTTTTTGTTGTTGTATGTGGATGATATGTTGGTGGCCTGTCATGACAAATCTGAGCTATCTCGACCAAAGAAGACTCTGAATACCAAGTTTAAAATGAAAGAGTTGGGTCAAGCTCAAAAGATACTTGGTATTACAATCATTAGAGATAGAGTTCATCGGAGTTTAAAGCTGGTTCAGCAAGATTATGCTAAAAAAATTCTACAAAAGTTCAATATGAAGGATGCAAAGGCTGTTCAAACACCTATTGGCCAACATTTCAAATTGTCTCATGATCAGAGTCCCCAAATCGGAAAGGAGAAACTGGAAATGGCAACTATTTGATATGCAAATGCATTAGGCTGTTTGATGTACTTGATGGTATGCTCAAGACCAGACCTTGCTTACTGAGTGAGTCTTGTGAGTAGATTCATGAGTAACCCAGGTAAGACTCACTTGTCTGCACTTAAGTGGATCCTGAGGTCATTTACAGGGGACTAAATCAATTGGAATTGTATTTAGAAAGAATAAAAGAGAAGATTGCTGCATTGAAGGCTTTGTAGATGCAGACTATGCAGGAGACATTGACAGGAGAAAGTCAACATCTGGATTTGTGTTTACATTATGGGGAAATGTGGTTAATTGGAAGTCAAAACTCCAACATATGGTCACATTATCTTCAACTAAATCTGAATATGTGGCATTGACAGAAGCAACAAAAGAAGCTAAATGGTTGAAGGGGTTTATAAATGAGTTGGAACTGGAACAGAGAATTGTTGTGATTAATAGTGATAGTCAGAGTGCCATTCACCTGTCTAAGAACCAAATCTTTTACGAAAGAACCAAGCACATCGATGTTAGACTTCATTTCATTAGGGAGATGATTGAGAAAGGTGAAATAAGGATTGAAAATGTGAAAGGCTCACACAATCCAGCAGACATGTTTACAAAACCTGTGACTGCTAACAAACATAGGCTCTGCATGAGTCTCTTTCAAGTCCAAGAATAATCAATATGGTTTCAAGGGCACTTAGGGTGCCAATTCAAAAGCCAAGGTGGAGAATTATGATGATGTGGCTTATGACTTGCCACATTGGAGTCAAATTTTTTAAGAAGAGTCAAAGCATGGGCTTATACGATGTCGTTTTACTCTGGGATCACTTGACATATTGTGTCAATTGATCCAGTTCTCCTGTAACAAACATTTCTCCTATTCACCTCAGCAGAAGCATGAACATGTAGAAGATTCTAGGCTTTTTTTTCATCTCAAGACTGTGGAGATTTTCAATCCAAGTGGAGGTAGATCTGAGAGGTGTATGGGTGTATAAAATCAGTTTGGCTATTGAAGGAAGGGCAGAGCTTTTCATAGAGAGATTTGGGTTTGCTATTCTTGGGTGTGTTCCTTCCTTGTACTAATCTTTTCAATTCTTCTCTGTATTGTTGAAATTCATGATTAATAATACCCTATAATGAGCCTTGACGAGTGGATGTAGGTTACAAAGCCAAACCACTATAAATCACTGTGTCTTTACTCTTTGATTTCTTTCATTCTTTGATCTGTTTTTTTCCTTTATGAGTTGATTGATTGATTCAGAGATTTAGAGTTGATTGCTTATCTCATTAAACCCATTTGATAATCCAATTAAGACAACTCAGTTAACCCTAGATTTCTACAATTACAATATTCATTAAGAATCCACTTTTCATTTCGTATTTTTCTTATTATTTTGATTGCATTTGTGACGCTGTGAGATGTCTTCTATTTTACTTGTAAGGGGGCGTTTGACAACCAAACACGATAATCAAGTAATATAAGATTTCAGTAATCTTGTATTACTAATAGTTGTTATTGTTGGTAATATTATAGGTAATCTGATTACCTCTCTTTTTTAGGTATTATAAGATTACCAAGGTAATCTTATTTTTGTTACAATTCTACCAAGGTAATCTTATTTTTTTTCACAATTATATCCCTTATTAATAAAAAATTTGGACAATAATGCCCCTGTTTTAAAATAAATTTACATTAATATACTATTTCAATTTTACCCTTGTTTAATTAAGTTTTTGGACAATAATGCCCTTATATTTAAAACAAATTACAAACCACCACCGCCACCTATCCACCACCGCCGACAGCGGGCCAACCACCACGGACCGCCGTAAAAAAGTTACCGGAGTCCCTAAAAATGATCGAGATTCGTTGGGAGGCTCCGGGAGGCTTCGATATGGCCGTTTCTGGCCATTTATGGCCAGATCTGGCTTAACATGGCCATTTTTGGCCATCAATATGGCCAGAAGCGGCCATATTGGAGCCTCGTGGTCACGGTGAGCTACTCACGATGACATTCGGAGACTTCTGGCGGTGGTTTGCGGTGGCGGCAGGGGTGGCGGTGATTTTGTTATAAATTAAAGTTTTATATAAGCGGGGTGTTTTAGCTAAATTTGAAATATTGGGGGTTAAAAGAATTATTCAAAAATTAATAATAAAAATTATATTATATTAATATTTAAAAAGAAGGTAATTTAGTAATTTAAATAACATACCCACTAATTTATTCCCCATAACCAAATATATTAATATAACATATCCACTAACTAATCAAACACATTTTTCTAAAGATTCTCAATAATCTTCAAGATAATATAAGATTTCAGTAATCCAATATTCTTAGTAATCTACCTTTACATCACCCTTTACATCATTTTCATTACACTATGACTATTTTATTAATAATAATTCTATTATAATATAAATAATTAAAAATAATTAAAAATTTATATGAATATAGTTACTATATTTAAGGTATTTTTGTCATTTTGTAAACTAATAGGGGGGTAATTAATTTTTTACAGGGTACCCCGAAGAGGAATCGGAACCTGCATTTTAGGTTCTGGTTCCTTTAATTGAAGAACTTGTACTGTGTGGTTCCGATTTCGATTTTAGTTCTTTTTTTTGGGAACCTATACTGTGCGATTCTGATTCCAGCTTCTTCGAAAAATGAAGCGTACCCGAAATCGCTCACCCCTAATATAGTATATGTCACATCACATAATATAATGTAAATGGTGTAAAGTAGCTCTTTGAATCGGCGAGTGTCCCAGCTGTTCTCGCTACCACTGCTCAAGCATTTAATCCATCGCTACCACTGCTTAAGTATTTAATGCGTATCTACAACTCCGCATGACTATTAATTAATTACTGATTTGAAATATCAGCTACCTCTCATCAAATTCCAAAAAACGTTGCTGTGAACATAGGACTAAATATATAAATAATTACTTAAATAAAAATATAATTATTTAAGAAATTAAATTGTTAAAAAACCATTAAAATTTTGAAAAAAAAAAGATAAATGTGGTGAGAACTTTGTTCAATTTTCACCTTTTTCAATATTATTTTAAATAATTAAGATACTAAAATTATTAATTAAATGAAGTTGATTTTGAAAAAAAAAAGTTTGCATTATTTTTTTTTGAAATAATACAATACATTATAAATCCTTGGGAGAGTTGTACAAGATAGGGATGAGACACAAAAGAGAATAATAACAATAATTGATAGGAGTAAATGACATATTCCCACCCAAGGTTTGATGAAATCCTGAGTTGATACCCCAAGTTCCATTTATTCCAGATTTCTACTCTTAAAATAATACTGTTAACAATTTTTAGGATAGTAAGGGTGTAATTACCATAATGCCCTTAACCCTAAATTAATAAATTATGTTTTAACCCCTAAATTACTAAAATTATAAATTAACCATCTTATTTTGAAATTACTTCAATTACACCCTCAGTGACTGTGCACTGTCTCGGTTTTCACCGGATCTAGGTTGTTTCCGATGGCGACGAACCCCTTGGTCACCTACATCACCTTCCCCATCGTCTGTTATCCAAAACCCCTCTGGTTCCCAACTCATTGGGCCCTCCAATCGCCGACGCCGTCAAGCTTAGGTTTTTGTCATTCTTCGCTTGATTCTGATCGATTCTGATGACGAAAATGCAATTGGACATCACCACTGCAACCAGCATCTCCAAATATACAAAACCCCTATGTCCCCAACAACCGTTTAGTGGCCATTCGCCAGTGGAGAGCGACGAAAACCAATCGCATATGGTGGCTGTTGTGGTTGGCGATCGATGAGTGATGAGGGGCTGTGAAGGGTACGGTTTTGTAGAGGGGAGGATGAGGGTTCGAATGGTGGTGACAAGGGTGATTTTGGGTGGAAGAATCACCGGAAAAGGGCAAAGAACGTCGGCGATGAAGTTGGCTAACATGCGCTAGATCTTTGTTAGGGGCGACAATCTGCTAATGTGCGCCTCCTTTGCGAAATGACCAATTTACCCCTGAGCCGTTATATCTAGCAATTTTCCGTTACTTTAAGGGTAGGAATCTAGAATAAATGGAACTTGGGATACCAACTTGGGATTTCGTCAAACCTTGGGTGGGAATATGTTGTTTACTCTAATTGATAGCATAAACTAGTGAAGGAGAGGCCATTGTTAAAGATGATATTTGAAGGCCACCCATTATGTGAGCCATTTGAACAGAATATAAGAAGTAGGTGAAACAGATACTCAGCTGAAATTAGTAGATGTTGCTTAGCAATGACAAGTTTAAGCTTCATCTATGGTGTCTCATTAGTAGTCTTTGCTACTATTTTTGCTACAACAACTTCCCTGCAGTCTAGAAGACATGCCGCCCTCTTCGTCTTCGGGGACTCTGTGTATGATCCAGGAAACAATAACTTCATCAATACCAGTATTACACACAAGGCAAATTACCCTCCTTATGGAGAGACCACCTTCAGGTTTCCAACCGGAAGATTTTCTGACGGGCGTTTGATCCCTGATTTCATTGGTAAGATTAAAAAAGTCCATAACACTATTCAGCGGTATAATATTCTTTTTCTCAAAACTTTGAGAATAACATACATGTGAGAAATTTGCAGCCAAGAATGCACACTTACCTTATTGGAAACCATATTTAGCACCTGGACAACATGAATTCATCAATGGAGCCAACTTTGCAAGTGCGGGAGCTTGTGTTATTGCTGATAACGATCCAAGCGTGGTATGTAATATAAATAATATTCATTCCTGGGTTGAAATTTACGGCCTCTTCTCAATTTTGAAAGAACTTATTGTCAACTTCAATTCTTTCTGATATGAATCTATCTGATCCATAAGGGAAGAACTTGCATCAGTATCTCAATTTCATTCAAACATGGGTTTGATTCACACCCCATTTTTTGAGAAATATTTACCATAAAAAAAAAAAAAAAAAAGAGTAGTCATAGACTCATAGTCTTTGTTTAAAGAAATGCGTTGAGAAGGTCACCCTTAAATTGCTTGATATGCTTTGGATTCTGCCCAGATTAACCTTGAAGCGCAGTTGAGCAATTTCAAGGAGGTGGTGAGCTTGTTGAAACAGCAGCTTGGAGATGCAGAAGCCGACCAGATACTAAGGAATGCAGTCTATCTATCCGGCATTGGAGGTGTTGATTACTACACATTTAGTGATCAATATCCTAATGCTACTGAATCAGAGATGGAAAATTATGTACAAGTGGTGATCGGAAACATTTTAAATGTGATAAAAGTAATTATAATATTAGTTTCTGATCTATAACTATTTAATGCAAGTAATTTATATACTTCAGCAATTTGTATTGAGAGGTTTTCTTTTTTTTTTTCTTTTTTTTTTTTCTTTTTTTTTTTGGTTTAAAAGGAAATATATGCACTTGGAGGAAGGAAATTTGCATTTCAAAATGTTGCACCCCTTGGTTGCACCCCACTCTTAAAACAATTGAAGAACCTTACAAAAACTGAATGTTGGAAAGATACTCAAGCGCTGGCAAGACAACACAACCAAGCCCTGGTTACTGCCGCTAAAGTATTAGATATCCAATTACCTCGATTCAACTTTATAATCTTTGACTACTTCACCACACTTATGAATCTACAATTTAACCCCTTGAAATATGGTAAAGTTTTCACCTTCATTTTCAATTTCAGGACGTCCGTACTGAAGATTGACTGACTTGACTAATTAATTTAACTTCGTTTTTGAAGGTTTTAAAGAAGCAGACATTGCTTGTTGCGGCAGTGGGACATATCATGCAAGCGATTGCGGAATTGGAGATTATGAATTATGCAGAAACCCTAATGAGTATGTGTATTTTGATGGTGAGCATCTTACAGATAAGGCTAACTCTAGGTTGGGTGCATTATTTTGGGAGGGAGGAATGAATGTTACAGCACCAATTAATATGAAGCAACTAATTGAACTTGAACTACAGCCTTCTGAGATTAAGAAATTTAGAGAAGACGATGATGATGGTGGTGCAACAAATGATGAATAAATTCATCGACATTTCCAGATGAATGTATCTTATAATAAGTCTTTCCATTCTAGTTGAAGTAATTTTTTGTTTTCTAATAAATAATGTTCATTTATATAATAAAAATTTATATTTATTTGTGTCCTTAGTATTATCATTTTCATTATTAAAAGATGTTTTCGGGTTTTTAAAAATACTTAATGACATTGATACTTTTAACGTTTAACTGAATAACAAAAATTTCATGTTCTTTATTAGCGAGCCATTAGATCTTATTCTATTATAAATTGATGAATATTTATTTAATTGTCTTTTTACTGTTTATTTTAACATCTAAAATTTAACAATTTTAAAAAAGAAAAACACTATCGCATTCAAAAACAGTAACAAATACAAGTTTAATGGTTCAATATTCGTCTACAAAAAGATTCATCTACGTGAGTATAAATATGTGTATTTCGATAGTTGCTCATTCATTCTTCTGCAACAAAACATAATGAATAGTTAAAAAAATTGCTGTTTTGAGTTGATTTATGATATGGGCAGTGTGAATTTTCTTGATTGGAGCAAGTTTGCTGCAGTGGGTGTTTGGTTGGTGATCGTGGGGATTTTCCTTTCTTGGTGTTTCAGGTTGCGTGTTTGGTTACTGGGAAAGTTGAAGAAAGTGAAAGAATGGCGGGGTTTTGGTTTGCTCTGAAAGCGGATAAATTTTACACAATTCGGTTACGTGTTAATAAATTGTAAATCTTGAGAAAAGTCGAGATTTTTCCTTTACTTACTTACTAGCTCAGTAGTTAAATGAATCTTAAAGCTAATATAAAATTTGATTTGAATTTGATGCAGGAGTGGCGGCAAAAGTGGAAGACCTCGGTCGGTATTCAATGCAGAATCACTATCATATATTAGCGATTGCAGTTTCGAGGTGTGCTTTTTTATTCTTTTTCTTTGTTGCATTTGGTCACCATTAATCGAAATTATCCATCTTCTATATGTGTTCAATTGTTTGAGAAGTTGTTCTGTATGTGTAGATTAGAATAGAGAAATAGGAATCAGCATCCCCTGTTGAATAATGATGGGAACTTCAATGGAATGGCTACTTCTCTTTCGAAATGAGTGCCATCACAGACCAAAGAATCACATCTGTGCCTCTGTGGAAGGTTGAATTATGGCAAAAATTGGAAATGGTGCATAATGGCAGCAAAAATTGGAGGCCGTAAGGGACATATATGTGAACTCATCATTGTCAGTTTTATTGATGCGTCGTGTTGATGCCTTCTTTAGGAAGCTAGTCTACCCTTTTGGTTGATGCCTTCTATACTTTAACTAGCATCAAAGCAAAACACACTTAGGAAGAAAAGAATATGGGCAGTGCTTGGATAAAAGCTAACTGTTGGACATGTTGAAAGGAAAAAATAAATAAATTGCTTGGAGAAAACAACATACCTTCACTAGCATCAAAGCAAAATTAATTGTTATAAGTATCAAATGGAATTAGCAGCATAATCACAACATAAGCAAACAAAATATTTGACCTCTGATTTATTCATCTTTCTTAAATCCAGTACCATCTTTGAATATGGCTGACATGATTGTATATGTTGGCAAAGAAGTGCGAAAGCTCACTGGTACTTATCAGACCCTTCAAGCTACGCTTATGGATGCGGAGGACAGACAAGTGAAGGGTAATGTTGAGAAAAATTGGCTAGATAAGCTTAAAGATGTAGCGTACGAAATTGAAGACGTGTTGGAGGAGTGGAACACAGCAATCGGAAAATTACAAATTAAGGAAGCTGAAAATGCTTCCAAGCCTTTGAGAAAGGTATGTCACCTCATCTCATACTATCTCTGTTATTGTAGTCGAGCTGCTTTTCGTTTTGACATTGCTTTCAAGATTGAAATTCTTAACCGAAAATTAGATCTTATTGGTACGGACAAAGCGATGTTCCATGTTAGATTTAATGAATACACTGAAAATCTTGAGCGACCAGTGACCACCTCTTTGGTTGATGTATTAGAGGTTTGTGGGAGAGATCAGGATAAGAATACATTAGTAAACTTGTTGTTGAGCAAGACTAGTCAAGAAGCAAACCTCTCCATCATTTCCATAGTAGGGATGGGAGGGATTGGTAAGACAACTCTTGCTCGAATAGCTTTTAACGATGATAATGTAAAATCCCACTTTGACAAGAAAATATGGGTGTGTGTCTCCAATCCTTTTGATGAGATTAGGATTGCAAGAGCAGTTCTCAACTCTCTTGACGTTAGAGCATCAAATCTAGGTCAACTAGAACCTTTGTTAGAACGAATCCGCAAGTCTATTGAAGGAAATAAGTTTCTTCTAGTCCTAGACGATATGTGGATAGATAGTCCTAGAATTTGGGAAGAATTTAAGCATTCTCTTAGATATGGTTCTCAAGGAAGTAGGATTTTGGTTACAACTCGTAAGACAAATGTTGCAAACATCATGGGAACGACTAACATGATCAAACTAGAGACATTGTCAGAGGATGAAAGTTGGTCATTGTTTAGTCAGGTGGCGTTATCAGAAAGGAGTGGTGAAGAATGTGAAAGATTAGAAAACATTGGTAGAACAATTGTAGGCAAGTGCAGGGGCTTGCCACATGCTATCAAGACTTTAGGGAGTATTTTGCGCTTTAAAAGACATAGTATAGCATGGAAAAGTGTCTTAGATGATGACTTGTGGAAAGAAGATGAGATAGCAAAAGACCTTTTCCTGCCTTTTCTATTTTGCTATTATGATTTACCCCCTAAGTTGAGAAATTGCTTTTTATATTGTGCCATCTTCCCAAAAGGCTATGAAATAAGGAAACATAAATTGATTGATCTATGGATGGCTCAAGGGTATCTAAAAAAAGAAAGAAATGTAGATATGGAGATAGTTGGCGAAGAGTATTTTGAAACATTAGCAATGCGGTCTTTCTTCCGAGATTTTGAATTAGATGGTGGCATAACAAAGTGCAAGATGCATGATATAATGCATGACTTTGCTCAATATCTTGGACAGAATGAATGTTTTTCTATAGAAGTTGATGGTCATGTAGTCTCAGGGTTAGAGCTTTCTCATAGAGGATCTCGACATTTAATAGTAATAGGGAACTCGATTCCTAATTCTATTTATAATGAGAAAGCACTGCGGAGCCTTATTGTCAATACTACAGTTGATATAGAGGTTAGAGCAGATCTACCCAAATTATTTGACCAGTTCACATCTCTAAGGTCACTAGATTTGAGTTTCTTTTCAATCGAAGAACTTCCAAGAGGAATACAGAAATTGGTTCACTTGAGATACCTTAATTTATCTGGAAATAACAGGTTAAAAGAATTGCCTAAGGAATTATGTGATTTATACCATTTAGAAACCTTAGATTTCAGTGGTTGTTCATATATTCAGAAGCTACCTCGAAGGATAGGAAGATTAATCAATCTAAGGTATCTAATAAACATGAATACTTTTAATATTAGTTACATGCCGAAGGGAATAGAGAGTTTGACATGCCTTCGCACATTAAGTGAATTCATTGTAAGTGGGGGTGGCCGCGATAACAAAGCATGAACTCTTGAATGCTTGAAATACTTGAATCATCTTCAGGGGTCTCTAACTTTAAAAAGATTAGGAAACGTGACAGACATTAATGAAGTTAGAGAAGCAGAACTCAAGAGTAAGAATAGACTTCTTTATTTGAGATTATCGTTCTATAAGTTGCAAGATGTAAAGAAGAGGAATATTGTGGAGAATGTAGTAGTTCTTGAAGCTTTAGAACCACCTCCTTTTTTAGAGAAATTAATAATTGAAGATTACATAAGTAAAACCATGTCCCCTAGTTGGATGGCAAGGTTAACAAAGTTGAGGGAGTTGACGCTCTATAAATGCATGAACTGTGAGCATTTGCCTCCTTTAGGCAAGTTATTGTCCCTTGAATCACTCTCGATTTGGTATATGGGAGGTGTGAAAAATGTAGGGAATGAGTTTTTGGGAATCGGAAGTGGTGGAACATTGTCATCTTCATCAGCTATTGTCGCCTTTCCGAAATTAAAATATCTCTCTATTAACTATATGGAGGAGTGGGAGCAATGGGAAGAGTGGAATTACAAGATTATAGAAGAGGATGTTTTAATTATGCCAAGTCTTCGTTTCTTGCAACTTAATTCATGTTGCAAATTAAAGGCTTTACCGGAATACATTCTTCAGATGACCACACTGGAAGAATTGAGGATCAAATACTGCTATGTTTTGAATTTGGAAAAATTATGGCTATCTTCATATAAAGAGGACATTCCATTAGCCAATATGAGGATGTTAACTCTTGATAGTTGCATCAATGTTGAATACTTGCCTCCTTTGGGAAAATTGTCATACCTTGAATCAATCATTATAAAGAGAATGGGCAGAGTGAAAAGAGTGGATAATGAATTTATGGGAATAGAAAGTAGTGGCAGGCACAGATCAATTACTGTCTTCCCGAAATTGAAAATTCTTGTTTTTGAAAACATGGATGAATGGGAAGAGTGGGATATTGCGATAGGAGACGAAGAAAGTACAATCATGCCATCTCTTCAGTGGGTAACAATTCAATGTTGTAACAAGTTGAAGGGACTTCCGGACCACCTTCTTCGAGCACCAAGACTGGAGCAATTGACTATCAATCGGTGTTCTATTCTGAAAGAACGTTACAGAGGGGAAATGGGAGAGGACTGGACCAAGATCTCTCACATTCCCAACGTTCAAATTCATAGATGATTTTGAGAGGTCATAGAGTTGATGAATGCAACCAATAAAAGATGACATTGACCCACAGGTAATTAATTTCTTAATACTTCTTTTTGATATCTCTATACTCATTCATGTCAACACAAGTAATATTCATGCTTTCTTCATGGGTGAACCAGGTACTGTTAGTAGATGTTTGCTGAGGATAACGGAGAATTGAGATTGGATTGCATTTCCCTTTCTGGTTTGTAAATAATTTGACACCCAAAGATATTAAACTTCACAAGCTATTGCTTTGTTATATATATTGTAGGTATTGGTTTTGTAAATGTTGGCTAAGGATTTCTCATTCTCTGAATGTTGCAGGCTCTAAAATACGTCGAAGTTTGTTGAAAGAATCAATCCTCGTGTATGTTGGGCAGCTATAAATGCAATCAAGGAGTTTCCAAGAATGTTATGCCTGAATTTTATAGAAAATGGTGTGAGTAGCATACCAGAGAGTACTGAAATGGCATATCTCATGCCCTGAAAATCAAATTGGTTAGTTATGCTTTATAATGTATATATATCTTTTATCTAGTTTCGATTTTAAAGCGCTTTTCAACTTGTTAGTTTCTTGCCATGGATTCTACCAAAACACAACATTTCTTGCCTCAGATGAAGTATTTTGTTCTACAGAAGAATGGTAGGAGGTTATACATTCAAGTGGCATCTCTTACTCCCCAAAAAGATCAAATTGGTTAGTAGTGCAGGGTAACTGCTATAACCTCTGTTTCAAAGAATCCTACACGGTAAGAGAAATGATCAATGTAGAACTTATCCGTTTTCAAGGACTCATTTTTTAGATTCTATCTGATTTCTGAAGTGCATTGCTTTTGTACGTCAGTATCATTAAATTCATCTAATCGTTGTGTCATTTGTTATTTGTTGAATTTTGATGATACAAGCTTGATTGTTTAAATGAGCTCAAATATGTGCATTCTTAAATTTTTTCAGTTTGGCTTTACATGTTAGCATTGAAACTTAAGGACCCTAAAGATGTTGAAGAGTAACCGGAAGAAAGCTATATCCATGAATGTGAAAGCTTAGCCTGGGAAACTTCTTGTTGTTCATGCAAAAATGGGCCAACCAATGGCTCAAAAAGCTGCACTAAGATGAATGATTCAATCGTTTTCAAAATGTTTTTGATAAATAAGCTAGAACTGGAATTTTGTTGAGAAACTGAAAATTCCAAATTGTGAGTGAAAAAGATTTTATTTTTATTCAGAAATTCTGCTTGTGGATTTTTTCCTATTATTTGAACAGTATTCAGATTCTGTTTAGAGAAGACAGAGTTAGACTCCATAAGCATTGAGACCAACAAAAACAAATAAGGGAAGTGAAAATAATAGTAAAAACTATTGGGGTTGTTAGGAATCTGAGACAAACCTCAGTCACTGACTTGCACTTATAGATCCTAGTACTGATCAAAGTTTCAAACTTTATAGTACTGATTGCTGACAACAGTGTGGAGAGTTTGTGAGAGTCTCTTCACAGAATGGTGGCTTGGAATATTGCATGGAACTCGATTCCTAATTCTATTTATATGAGAAAGCACTGCGGAGCCTTATTGTCATACTACAGTTGATATAAGGTTAGAGCAGATCTACCCAAATTATTTGACCGTTCACATCTCTAATCACTAATTTGAGTTTCTTTTCAATCGAAGAACTTCCAAGAGGAATACAGAATTGTTTCACTGAGATACCTTAATTTATCTGGAAATAACAGGTTAAAAGAATTGCCTAAGGAATTATGTGATTTATACCATTTAGAAACCTTAGATTTCAGTGGTTGTTCATAATTCAGAAGCTACCTCGAAGGATAGGAAGATTAATCAATCTAGGTATCTAATAACATGAATACTTTTAATATTAGTTACATGCCGAAGGGAATAGAGAGTTTGACATGCCTTCGCACATTAAGTGAATTCATTGTAGTGGGTGTGCCCGCGATAACAAAGCATGTACTCTGAATGCTTGAAATACTTGATCATCTTCAGGGGTCTAACTTTAAAAGATTAGGAAACGTGACAGACATTAATGAAGTTAGAGAACAGAACTCAAGAGTAAGAATGACTTCTTTATTTGAGATAATCGTTCTATAAGTTGCAAGATGTAAAGAAGAGGAATATGTGAATGTAGTAGTTCTTGAAGCTTTAGAACCACCTCCTTTTTTAGAGAAAGAATGGCGGGGTTTTGGTTTGCTCTGAAAGCGGATAAATTTTACACAATTCGGTTACGTGTTAATAAATTGTAAATCTTGAGAAAAGTCGAGATTTTCCCTTTACTTACTTACTAGCTCAGTAGTTAAATGAATCTTAAAGCTAATATAAAATTTGATTTAAATTTGATGCAGGAGTGGCGGCAAATTTGGAGGAATCTCATTTGGGATATGAGATGTGGCTGCCAAACCCACCAAAAGTGGAAGACCTCGGTCGGTATTCAATGCAGAATCACTATCATTTATTAGCGATTGTAGTTTCGAGGCGTGCTTTTTTGTTCTTTTTCTTTGTTGCATTTGGTCACTATTAATCGAAATTATCCATCTACTATAAGTGTTCAATTGTTTGAGAAGTTGTTCTGTATGTGTAGATTAGAATAGAGAAATAGGAATCAGCATCCCCTGTTGAATAATGATGGGAACTTCAATGGAATGGCTACTTCTCTTTCGAAATGAGTGCCATCACAGACCAAAGAATCACATCTGTGCCTCTGTGGAAGGTTGAATTATGGCAAAAATTGGAAATGGTGCATAATGGCAGCAAAAATTGGAGGCCGTAAGGGACATATATGTGAACTCATCATTGTCAGTTTTATTGATGCGTCGTGTTGATGCCTTCTTTAGGAAGCTAGTCTACCCTTTTGGTTGATGCCTTCTATACTTTAACTAGCATCAAAGCAAAACACACTTAGGAAGAAAAGAATATGGGCAGTGCTTGGATAAAAGCTAACTGTTGGACATGTTGAAAGGAAAAAATAAATAAATTGCTTGGAGAAAACAACATACCTTCACTAGCATCAAAGCAAAATTAATTGTTATAAGTATCAAATGGAATTAGCAGCATAATCACAACATAAGCAAACAAAATATTTGACCTCTGATTTATTCATCTTTCTTAAATCCAGTACCATCTTTGAATATGGCTGACATGATTGTATATGTTGGCAAAGAAGTGCGAAAGCTCACTGGTACTTATCAGACCCTTCAAGCTACGCTTATGGATGCGGAGGACAGACAAGTGAAGGGTAATGTTGAGAAAAATTGGCTAGATAAGCTTAAAGATGTAGCGTACGAAATTGAAGACGTGTTGGAGGAGTGGAACACAGCAATCGGAAAATTACAAATTAAGGAAGCTGAAAATGCTTCCAAGCCTTTGAGAAAGGTATGTCACCTCATCTCATACTATCTCTGTTATTGTAGTCGAGCTGCTTTTCGTTTTGACATTGCTTTCAAGATTGAAATTCTTAACCGAAAATTAGATCTTATTGGTACGGACAAAGCGATGTTCCATGTTAGATTTAATGAATACACTGAAAATCTTGAGCGACCAGTGACCACCTCTTTGGTTGATGTATTAGAGGTTTGTGGGAGAGATCAGGATAAGAATACATTAGTAAACTTGTTGTTGAGCAAGACTAGTCAAGAAGCAAACCTCTCCATCATTTCCATAGTAGGGATGGGAGGGATTGGTAAGACAACTCTTGCTCGAATAGCTTTTAACGATGATAATGTAAAATCCCACTTTGACAAGAAAATATGGGTGTGTGTCTCCAATCCTTTTGATGAGATTAGGATTGCAAGAGCAGTTCTCAACTCTCTTGACGTTAGAGCATCAAATCTAGGTCAACTAGAACCTTTGTTAGAACGAATCCGCAAGTCTATTGAAGGAAATAAGTTTCTTCTAGTCCTAGACGATATGTGGATAGATAGTCCTAGAATTTGGGAAGAATTTAAGCATTCTCTTAGATATGGTTCTCAAGGAAGTAGGATTTTGGTTACAACTCGTAAGACAAATGTTGCAAACATCATGGGAACGACTAACATGATCAAACTAGAGACATTGTCAGAGGATGAAAGTTGGTCATTGTTTAGTCAGGTGGCGTTATCAGAAAGGAGTGGTGAAGAATGTGAAAGATTAGAAAACATTGGTAGAACAATTGTAGGCAAGTGCAGGGGCTTGCCACATGCTATCAAGACTTTAGGGAGTATTTTGCGCTTTAAAAGACATAGTATAGCATGGAAAAGTGTCTTAGATGATGACTTGTGGAAAGAAGATGAGATAGCAAAAGACCTTTTCCTGCCTTTTCTATTTTGCTATTATGATTTACCCCCTAAGTTGAGAAATTGCTTTTTATATTGTGCCATCTTCCCAAAAGGCTATGAAATAAGGAAACATAAATTGATTGATCTATGGATGGCTCAAGGGTATCTAAAAAAAGAAAGAAATGTAGATATGGAGATAGTTGGCGAAGAGTATTTTGAAACATTAGCAATGCGGTCTTTCTTCCGAGATTTTGAATTAGATGGTGGCATAACAAAGTGCAAGATGCATGATATAATGCATGACTTTGCTCAATATCTTGGACAGAATGAATGTTTTTCTATAGAAGTTGATGGTCATGTAGTCTCAGGGTTAGAGCTTTCTCATAGAGGATCTCGACATTTAATAGTAATAGGGAACTCGATTCCTAATTCTATTTATAATGAGAAAGCACTGCGGAGCCTTATTGTCAATACTACAGTTGATATAGAGGTTAGAGCAGATCTACCCAAATTATTTGACCAGTTCACATCTCTAAGGTCACTAGATTTGAGTTTCTTTTCAATCGAAGAACTTCCAAGAGGAATACAGAAATTGGTTCACTTGAGATACCTTAATTTATCTGGAAATAACAGGTTAAAAGAATTGCCTAAGGAATTATGTGATTTATACCATTTAGAAACCTTAGATTTCAGTGGTTGTTCATATATTCAGAAGCTACCTCGAAGGATAGGAAGATTAATCAATCTAAGGTATCTAATAAACATGAATACTTTTAATATTAGTTACATGCCGAAGGGAATAGAGAGTTTGACATGCCTTCGCACATTAAGTGAATTCATTGTAAGTGGGGGTGGCCGCGATAACAAAGCATGAACTCTTGAATGCTTGAAATACTTGAATCATCTTCAGGGGTCTCTAACTTTAAAAAGATTAGGAAACGTGACAGACATTAATGAAGTTAGAGAAGCAGAACTCAAGAGTAAGAATAGACTTCTTTATTTGAGATTATCGTTCTATAAGTTGCAAGATGTAAAGAAGAGGAATATTGTGGAGAATGTAGTAGTTCTTGAAGCTTTAGAACCACCTCCTTTTTTAGAGAAATTAATAATTGAAGATTACATAAGTAAAACCATGTCCCCTAGTTGGATGGCAAGGTTAACAAAGTTGAGGGAGTTGACGCTCTATAAATGCATGAACTGTGAGCATTTGCCTCCTTTAGGCAAGTTATTGTCCCTTGAATCACTCTCGATTTGGTATATGGGAGGTGTGAAAAATGTAGGGAATGAGTTTTTGGGAATCGGAAGTGGTGGAACATTGTCATCTTCATCAGCTATTGTCGCCTTTCAGAAATTAAAATATCTCTCTATTAACTATATGGAGGAGTGGGAGCAATGGGAAGAGTGGAATTACAAGATTATAGAAGAGGATGTTTTAATTATGCCAAGTCTTCGTTTCTTGCAACTTAATTCATGTTGCAAATTAAAGGCTTTACCGGAATACATTCTTCAGATGACCACACTGGAAGAATTGAGGATCAAATACTGCTATGTTTTGAATTTGGAAAAATTATGGCTATCTTCATATAAAGAGGACATTCCATTAGCCAATATGAGGATGTTAACTCTTGATAGTTGCATCAATGTTGAATACTTGCCTCCTTTGGGAAAATTGTCATACCTTGAATCAATCATTATAAAGAGAATGGGCAGAGTGAAAAGAGTGGATAATGAATTTATGGGAATAGAAAGTAGTGGCAGGCACAGATCAATTACTGTCTTCCCGAAATTGAAAATTCTTGTTTTTGAAAACATGGATGAATGGGAAGAGTGGGATATTGCGATAGGAGACGAAGAAAGTACAATCATGCCATCTCTTCAGTGGGTAACAATTCAATGTTGTAACAAGTTGAAGGGACTTCCGGACCACCTTCTTCGAGCACCAAGACTGGAGCAATTGACTATCAATCGGTGTTCTATTCTGAAAGAACGTTACAGAGGGGAAATGGGAGAGGACTGGACCAAGATCTCTCACATTCCCAACGTTCAAATTCATAGATGATTTTGAGAGGTCATAGAGTTGATGAATGCAACCAATAAAAGATGACATTGACCCACAGGTAATTAATTTCTTAATACTTCTTTTTGATATCTCTATACTCATTCATGTCAACACAAGTAATATTCATGCTTTCTTCATGGGTGAACCAGGTACTGTTAGTAGATGTTTGCTGAGGATAACGGAGAATTGAGATTGGATTGCATTTTCCTTTCTGGTTTGTAAATAATTTGACACCCAAAGATATTAAACTTCACAAGCTATTGCTTTGTTATATATATTGTAGGTATTGGTTTTGTAAATGTTGGCTAAGGATTTCTCGTTCTCTGAATGTTGCAGGCTCTAAAATACATCGAAGTTTGTTGAAAGAATCAATCCTCGTGTATGTTGGGCAGCTATAAATGCAATCAAGGAGTTTCCAAGAATGTTATGCCTGAATTTTATAGAAAATGGTGTGAGTAGCATACCAGAGAGTACTGAAATGGCATATCTCATGCCCTGAAAATCAAATTGGTTAGTTATGCTTTATAATGTATATATATCTTTTATCTAGTTTCGATTTTAAAGCGCTTTTCAACTTGTTAGTTTCTTGCCATGGATTCTACCAAAAAACAACATTTCTTGCCTCAGATGAAGTATTTTGTTCTACAGAAGAATGGTAGGAGGTTATACATTCAAGTGGCATCTCTTACTCCCCAAAAAGATCAAATTGGTTAGTAGTGCAGGGTAACTGCTATAACCTCTGTTTCAAAGAATCCTACACGGTAAGAGAAATGATCAATGTAGAACTTATCCGTTTTCAAGGACTCATTTTTTAGATTCTATCTGATTTCTGAAGTGCATTGCTTTTGTACGTCAGTATCATTAAATTCATCTAATCGTTGTGTCATTTGTTATTTGTTGAATTTTGATGATACAAGCTTGATTGTTTAAATGAGCTCAAATATGTGCATTCTTAAATTTTTTCAGTTTGGCTTTACATGTTAGCATTGAAACTTAAGGACCCTAAAGATGTTGAAGAGTAACCGGAAGAAAGCTATATCCATGAATGTGAAAGCTTAGCCTGGGAAACTTCTTGTTGTTCATGCAAAAATGGGCCAACCAATGGCTCAAAAAGCTGCACTAAGATGAATGATTCAATCGTTTTCAAAATGTTTTTGATAAATAAGCTAGAACTGGAATTTTGTTGAGAAACTGAAAATTCCAAATTGTGAGTGAAAAAGATTTTATTTTTATTCAGAAATTCTGCTTGTGGATTTTTTCCTATTATTTGAACAGTATTCAGATTCTGTTTAGAGAAGACAGAGTTAGACTCCATAAGCTTTGAGACCAACAAAAACAAATAAGGGAAGTGAAAATAATAGTAAAAACTATTGGGGTTGTTAGGAATCTGAGACAAACCTCAGTCACTGACTTGCACTTATAGATCCTAGTACTGATCAAAGTTTCAAACTTTATAGTACTGATTGCTGACAACAGTGTGGAGAGTTTGTGAGAGTCTCTTCACAGAATGGTGGCTTGGAATATTGCATTTGATCAGTAAGATAATTCGGTTCAGAGAGAAAACTCGAGGCCAACGAAGAATGCTTCTTTATTTACTGGTACCACTCTCTCTCTCTCTCTCTCTCTCTCTTTGTTTGAGTCTTTGAGATACTCATTTTATTTGTTTGCGGTCATTAATGTGAATTGTAAATTGTGTTGACAGAAACAATGCAGAAGATGCAACAAGCTAGAAAACCATGGTCCCAGATTCATGGATGAGACTAGCTGGGAGAATGCAGGAAGGTAGGAGGAATAATTAAGGGATAAATTTATCTACTTTCAATGAATGAGAATCTATCTCATTTATAAAGTGCATCAATTTTGCTGTGTTAGTATCATTAAATTCCCCACTAATTGTTAAGCCATTTATGAAGCTTATGTTAGCTTCACCATTTGCCCCAAATCTCCTCTGCGGGATGTCTTTATAGCTCATTTCTAGAGGTTTGTTTTGGTTGTTTTTCTGGCTATTAGTTGGGATACTAGAAGGCCTTTTTCTTCGTAAGAAATTCTTGATTTTGATATTTCGATTCCATGTAAAGAAACAAGGTCATGTTTGCTTGGGATGAATAGACTAGGGAATGAGAATCTCATTTCAAAATCATCGTTTGGTTCATAGAAATGATACAAGAATATGAATCTTATTCCTTAAACATAGCCCAAGTTCAATATATCTAGAATTTCTTCAGAAATGATGTTAATCTTGAAAGGGTATTGGTGAACTTCTATTTCTGTCTATATATGATTGATTCTGTGTCTTTTTTCACCAGGCTTTATTTCAACTTCAAAACTCGAGGATCCTGAAGATATTAATGGCCTCAGTCACATGGCCTGTGCTCATTGTAGCCATTCCTGCTATTGTACTTTCAAAATATGTTCAGGTAAATATCAACTCTACTTGCTCCATGTACTAAAATCTTCTCTCTTTTGTCAACAAATTGAGAAATGTGATGTTCAGTTTTGCATTGTTTTGAACTGAAGGGATATTATCCCTCCTCAGCAAGAGACTTAATGAGAATGAATGGAACAACCAAAGCACCCATTTTGAATTTCGCAGCTTTTAACAAGATGGATATGTTCTTCCAAAACTACCTTAAGCTCGTTGACACAGACGCAAGGCTTTTCTTCCATTCTAATGCTGCTACGGAGTGGTTAGTTTTACGAATTGAAGCAATTCAGAATCTGATTGTATTCGCTGCTGCTCTTTTTATAGTTCTGCTTCCTGGAAAACATTTACCAGCTAATTCCAATCAATAAAATTATTCAATGTCTCAATATAGAGCATGATCTTGTTGGTTTTGCTAGAAAACAAAGAAGAGAGACTGATGATAGAGAGAGAACTGTGAACTGGAATTTTTTGCTCTGTTTTTACATTAAAAAACAGGGATAGTTTTTATACAAGAACATGCAACTGTTTCACCTAAAGTTGCAAATTTAAAATTTAAACTAAACACTTCAACTAATGCACGTACAAGCACATCAAAATACATTATTTTATCAACCTAATTCACCTAAACACATCACTGAAATATTTCCAGAACAGTGACCAAAAACAGCTTTTGCATGCACAGTAGAAGTTTAAACGGTGGCGCCAAAAACATGCAAATTTGATTTCTGCCAATTTTTATCATTTCCAGCATGATATCATAGGTAAGAGAAGCTGACCAAGAAGGGGAAGTTAAGCTGGTCCATTGCAGAGATGAGGATCAACTGGATGATATCATGACCAAAGGCTTGTCCAAAACCAAGTTTGAAGACTTTAGGCTCAGACTTGGTGTTTCCAACAAAAATATTAAAGAGTGTTGAAACATTGATATTTTGCTGGAAATTCAACTGAAATTCAGTTAGTTTTTGAAAAGCTTTTTGGCGCCAAAAGAGCTTTCTGATTTCTTTGTAGTCTACCGTGAAAAGAGCTGCCGAAGTTGATAGTTTTTGGTGATATGTTTAGGTGCTTTCAGCTGTGATTAAGGGTGCATTAGTTATAAACTTTGTTTTTTAAATTTCAAACTTGTAACAGTAAGCAACCTTGCTGTATAAAAATGTAAAGTTATTGCATTGAAATCAGAACTTTTCTCACCTCTTTCCTTAGCATTCACCGGCTTAAGACACCTACAGAGTTTTTTCACTGAGAACAGTCATGAAACAGTCCTGCAGTATAACATCATTCAACTTGGAGTCAAATCAATATTTTCCATGTTTGTATATAATGTAAATTCAAGCAAATTCCTTTTTTCAATGTGATGGCTCCAGGCAAACATCTTGCTTCCAGGCTAGTTCAGGTTTGTGATTTTCTTTACGTTTAAAAGAAATAAATAAAAAACTGGGATTCGAGTCTATTAGTCCAAATCCTAAGTTTAAAGTACTCACATAGACCTCTTAATTCTAATATATTTAAACTTATGTAAGAATGAAATTTTTATGTTTAATATATTATTATGTTTAATTAATTAATTTTTTTTATGTGTATATATACATATGTTTTTAAGGGTTTTTTTTTTTTTTTATCCTGAAGTTTAATTAAACTAAATTTTTTTTGCAAAAATAACATAAACACTTCTATTGTTAATAATCTGTTAATATGTCGTTAGAATTAATAAAATAATGAGTTAATGACCATTTCATGTTCATTTTTAGTACAATAAAGAGATTTTTATTATTATTATTATTATAATCACTATTATTTAATTATACCTAAGATATTATTGGTATTGATCTTGTTTTTAATTAAGGTTACATATTATTAACACCCCCTTAGTTTTTTTTTTTAAGGTATTATTGCTATTGAGGGGGTGAATAAGAAACTTTTGATTGGGCTGGGCTTTGCAAAAGATTGAGAGTCTTGGACCATAAGCTTAAGTAAGGCCTCCATAAAAGCCTTCAAAGCCCACATAAATTATACCCATAAGCTCATACTTTCACATCAATACAAAGTTCAATTAATGTGCATGAACTGTTGTAGAATTTTATTCAGATATTCTGCATGTAGAAATTTTCCAACAACTTATAGTCTTACAGCTCGAGTTGTTTGCCTGTGAGTTCTTCAAAGTTCAGACTTCGGAGTTTCAGTAACCCATCACTGGCTTCCCACTTAGATCCTGTGTTTCTTGCATCAAAGTTTCAAACTTTATAGTACTGATTGGTGACAACAGTATGGAGAGTTTATGAGAAAGTTTCTTTTCACGTGGGGTTCTTCACAAGAATGGTGGCTTATAATATTGCCTTCGATTAGTAAGATAATTTGATTCAGAGAGAAAACTCGAGGCCAACGAAGAACGTTTCTCTATTTACTGGTACCACTCTCTCTCTCTCTCTCTCTCTCTTTGATACTAATGTTTAGGTGCTCTTTGAATTCCTCAAATCAAACTTCGTAGTACAGTCTCTTTAAATTAGTTAAAAATTCAGTCATTTGATATTAAGTTTCAAAATACTCCATGCCTGTTACCTGATTTATGTTATAAGTTGTTCATAAAGCTTTTAGTATGTTTGTCATTTCTCAGATTGAAACCTGTATGACTTTAATATTGTCAAAATTGTTCACTTGTTAACAATAAAATTTTGTAAACCATATGAAAACAAATGTTGAAAATATAATCAATTAGCAACAACAAATGGTTTTTTTTTCCCTTAAATTTATAGTTGATTGCAGTTTGATCATTGAATAGAAGATGGGTGCCGTACAACTATTTGCAGAAGGAGTTAGAAAATTTTGGAATGGATGGGAAATACGATTGCTGGTTGTACTTAGTCTTCTTTTACAAATTATCCTCATCATTTTTGGTTCTAGGCGAAAATCCACACCGACAATCTGGATAAGGATCGTTGTTTGGGTAGCATACTTGTCTGCAGACTGGGTGGCAACTATTTCCTTGGGCAACCTAGCAACTAGCCCAGGAAATTCTGACAGTAATTCTTCAAACAACATAGCCATCCAGGCATTTTGGGCACCATTCCTTCTTTTGCATCTTGGTGGCCCAGATACTATCACGGCTTACTCTTTAGAAGACAATGAGCTGTGGTTAAGACACTTACTTGGGCTTCTTGTCCAAGTTGTAGTGGCATTTTATGTCTTCGTTTGGTCTTGGAGCAAGGGAGCCCTTACTTTTATTGCCATTCCAATATTTACTACTGGTATTGCAAAGTATGGAGAAAGGACATATGCACTCAGGTCTGCAAGCACTAAGCAATTTAAAGAGGCCTTGCTCTCCACTAATCCATTTGCAGAAAACACTATGAGAATGGTACTGGGAATCACAGAAGATGCTTTTTTCGAGAGAAATATTAAGATGGAGGGGCCGAGGGAAAAACTCAATGAACTATATTTAAGCCGCAAGCAAGTTGGAAATCAGATGGATGAAGCTCATTTTTTATTCAAGAGATTTGTTTATCTCTTTGGAAACCTAATCTTGGGCCTTAATGAACGGAGAGATTGCTACAGCGTCATTTGTGAGAAGTCAGCTGAAGATGCCTTCAAACTAGTAGCAATTGAGCTTGGGTTTATGTATGATGTGCTTTACACAAAGGCGACCTTAATTTATACTCGATTGCTTCTTGAAATTAGACAATTATCTAATGCCAATGTACTTTCTCAAGCAAGGTTGCATATTATGAGCTTGAACAATAACTATTTATATAACATGATCCTTATATTATAAGCTCGTGAGGATGATGATTGAGGCAGTCACAAAACCCTTGTACTTCACATTTGTTTTCCATGAATCAAAATCCTCCATTATGATAACCATTTTACCCTTTCATTACAAATCGTAGAACATGAACACAAGTAAAGAATTTCCTTTTCCTTTTATTTCTGTGTCTTCTTCTTTTTTCCCCTTTCTTCTTTAATAAGTTGTTCTCTCTTATACTGCACTTATATTTTATTTTTTATTTTTTGTCCTTCTCTCTTTTCTATTTCGTTTTGTTCATTGAACCTCCGATATTTGTAAGAATGTCTTCAAGAATTCAGCCCCCTAACTAAGCAATAATATATGGTAGTAGAATGTTCACATGAAGCAAGTGAAGATTTTCACTTGCTTCATGTGAATGTTTCTGCATATAAACATATAATTACATGGATCAGAAGGAAATTTCAATGGTTTTCAGATATTGTCTTTTCTGCCTAGTGTTTGGTCAAAAGGGTTATAGAATATATATGATTATGCTCTGTGCACACATTTTCCTGGCTTTGCTCTTATATTATTTTCTAGTTTATTTGTTCCCCTCGTTTATGGCAAAAAGTCTCTGGCGCATCTTCCATTTTTCTGTTGGAGAGAAAAAGATAAGCTGCAAGAACCCAATAAAACCCAGATAACCTCAGATTGGTGATGCAACCTTAAACCTATGCAAAGAATTGTCACTTATATAATCTGGCCCCGGTCCAGGGCATTCCCCTCTCATATGGGCCCGCAAACATTGGAAATTTTCGTTTTTCATTGACAAGATTGAGTTGAAGTCACAAAAATCATTACCCCGTTATCGGCTCAGAGGAGAAAAATCTACAAGGAGTAACAGTATCTCCGTTTTTAAGAGTACTGTCTTCGCGGCCCGAGCCATAAATATTTTACAGAGGAAGTACAGGCTCGTAATAATTAGATTAAAAAGCAATACTTTGATTAAAGATTAATTGTTATGAAACTTATTGTGGATCATTACAACAAAATTCACAAGCCTATTTTGACATCTCAGTTATAGTAAGAATTTATTCAATCCTAAATCTGATTTTTGATAATATTAAACATGTTCCGTCTGTCTCATAGATGTGGGTTTTTGGAGCTGGTTAAGATGATGGTTGAGTGCAGTCACAAAATCCGTGTCCTTCAAATATGCTTTCCATGAATCAAAATCTATTAAGCACTGCCCAATGGTTTCACCATCGGCCCTAGCAATGGCTGTTCCTTTGCAAAACAGAGCCCATCCTTCACCACTTCTATCAAACCTAAGCATAGTATCGATCTCCTGCATTATAGGATCGTTTTCCACTCTACAGCCGACTTTCGTCTTAGAGCTCCACATGCTCTCTAACCGCTTCCAGAAGAACCAAACCGAAGTGAGGTCTGGCCATACGTGACTAAGCCTCTCTCCAGTAATAATGGAGATGTTTCTTCGATTTTTCTCTTTAGGGTTGCTCTTTCCCACGTAAAGGATCTCCAATGGAATCTTCGCAGCTCGTGTGACTGCCAGTGCAGCGGTTGTGAATTTCCTGATCCATTCTATATCGCTTCCACCGTACAAGCATATGTTTTTCCCTTCACTTATCTGAAATTGAAAAAAATGTACAATTATAGTCTATCATGCTCAATTTTATTTGTGCCAAACAAATTGTAGTAAGTATATGCAATCATTCTTTGTTGCCGATGTTTGCAATTTAAAGAAATTCAGACAAACGACTAACTAAAACTAGTTAGCTCTAATGAGAATTTTAAAAAGTATGCCTACCCAATTAAGAACGACGGGATCTATACCGTCTACTAAAAGCACAAGTCCCCAAGTCTCTTCTTCCCAAAGGGATGCCTCTTGATCGCTAGTGCAAGGGAATGCCAATGATCCCCAAATCCAGAGCATGGGGAAAGCATCATGATTAACTACTTTCCTTCGAGGGTCAAGTACCACAACAATAGGCTTCTTCTTGAAGTGCCACACTTCTTGGATATACATGATGACCGCTGGGTCGATCATTGAAGGGTGATATACAGAGTACCATGGCATGACCGACTGGAGAGACTCAAATTGCTTTTGCTTTGTTTGTGTCCATGGGGTTGACCTATCCACAACCGGGATCCAAACCATTTCATACTGGCTCTCTGTCCTTGTTGGATCCTGATGAGATTCCTTATAAATTTGTTCTAGTATGGATAACTCTTCGTAGGATACCTCCAGATCTGAGATGAGGAGCAGCATATTCTTTCTCTTCAACACTTCGATGCCAGCCTGTTTTTGCCATAGAATATGAAACATATTTAATAGCTATAATAAGATGATATTTCCTTATTTTGATGTCAATAATTCAGAAAAGAAAAGAAACGAGAGAAAAATTTGCAAACCCTTTTCTTGGTAGCACCGTCCAGGAGAGGCAGCTGATCTTCCTTGGCATAAATCAACGCCCTCAGAATTTCCATGTTATCAGTGTACTCTCTTTCCATGAGTCTTCGAAGTCTTCGATACGCTTCGGCATACCTTTGCTCTCCTGCATCACAATAATGAGATTGTCACTTTTCTATTTGGGCATATAATGAATCAATTTAATTACATATGGCATTCCTTTCCAATAGTTTTTGGTAGGAAAGACTGACCTATGAGTTGAGGGAGTTGCATCTTAAGATCGTTAAGAATGCTGCTGACTTTCTGGACTAAGCTTGACAGTTTCAATGCCTCAGCTGTTGATGATATTTTCCTGCCACAGCCAAAAAAATTATTAATGGATAATGACAATATGAGATGACACTGATTAAGAATGGATTATCATACTCATAACCCATGCCAGTGAGACCCAAAATTTGTGAAGCGCAAGCCAAAATGCTGCGGATGGTCCAGTAAACTGCGTCGGGAATCTGGGAAGTGGCGGCAACCATCGTTTCTGGTTTTTCATTGCTAGTGTTCTTAGATGCAAACTCTGTCAACTCAACAATGCATTTGATCACATTTAGAGTTGACTTGATGAGGTTGCTAACTGCCTCAAACTTTGGTGTAAATGTGTCAACTGGCTCTTGTGTCTCTGGAAATTGCTTGATGAGTGGAACCGATTTGACAAGTGGGTTGGTGGAGTAAGGTTGTGCCACCACCAAGAATTCACCGTAGTTAAAACCAAATGCAGCCAAGGCTAGCACCACTTTTGCATCCCAATCGTAGCTTTTTAGGATGTTCAATATTTCCAAAAGTTGTTGCATGTTCATCTTCACCACCAGAAAACTTGCGGGAAATATTATTGATGGTGGATGACAAAAGATCGAGCATGTCAAGAAAGTTAAATTGCAAAGCCTTGTCATCCAACACATCTAGTTGTACTTGAGCTCCCTGCATGCAGTATATAATTACAAAAATTCATCAGTCACACCCCAAATGTAGATTGTAGAGTTAATAGCCAATGAGATAGAGGCAAGATTTATATATACCAAACCAAAGCCAGGGGCTCTAGGGGTGGAAGGTTGAAAGATGTCCTGAATGATGTAAAGAAGAGGTTTGACTGCCAATTTACGGCCATCAGTGTAAAGAAGAGGTTTGACTGCCAATTTACGGCCATCAGGTTCATGAGTGGCTTTAACTTGCTCCATTATTGCATTTTCATCTGATGGTACAATCGACTGTGCCATTGAATTTCTAAGAAGTTTTAGGTGATGAACAACAGAGGAAGAGAAGAAAGGCTTTGTGTTGGGCTTATCCATTTCATTTACTTTTTATTTTCTTTGCATCAATTCATTGCTTTATGAGCAATCCAAGGACAATTTCTTTCACTACTAAAACACAAGCATCCACCTTTACAGTAAGGGGCCATTTGGATAGGGTTAATATTCAATAAATGGGATAATATTTTTTAAATTGAGCAAATGACCATATTTGGTGACATTTGGGGGTAAATTGCTGAGAATCTTAATACCTTTGTTTTTTTTTTTTTGGGGGGGGGGGGGGGGGGGGGGGGGGGGGGGGGGGGGGGGGGGTTGTGGAAGGGGAAGGGAGAGATACCCAAGGTAATCTAATTTTGTTTCCCATATTGCCCCTAAACAGTTGAGCATTTGGTCTAAATTAGCCTTATATTTGTTAAGATTTACAAAACACTCAATTCACTCATGTAGACCCTTTTGTCCTCACCTTTAAAATTTTCTGGATGACATTGCCCTTGTTATTGTCATTATTTACAGAAATGTCATTGTACACAAAACTAGCCACCATTGTCAACCACTGTGGACCATCACCAGAGGCTACCAAAAGTCACCATAATGGCATACGACCGATCGTATATGACCGGTCATGCCCTAGTGAGAACTTTTTTTACCACATATCTATGGTCGGAAACGGGCAGATCTGGCCATTTCACAGCCAAAGATGTGGCTGTGTGTAATAGTTGCTTTCTACTCAAATACTCCTAAAAATATACATAATGAAAATACATATAAGATGGTAAAAAGGGTTGGGCCCAAATTTTTCTTTTATTAAACATATACATTCTTTACACAAAATTTGTATCAAGTACAAAAGTTATCAAAAACATGGTAGACAGTGTAACCATTTCTCCTCGCGTGCTGACGTCCATTCTACCGTGTCCTCACCTAGATCCTGCAAAACATAGAAAACAACAGGGTAAGCACTAAAACAATGCTTAGTAAGTAAATCCTCTACTCATCTATCCCCGTAACTCTCTTTAATTTTTTTTCCTTACAATTCTCATTTACTCTCTCTTTTATACTTCTCTCTATTTTCTCTTCCTGTTTCTCTCTCTCTGTTTCTCTTTCTTAGAACTCTTTTCTACTAACTCTCTTTAGTAAGTCCCGGCCCCATCTTACCGGGGGCATGGCCGGGACTCGTTCCCGCTCTCCGTGACTTCTACTCGTTCTAGCCAATCGGAGTCGGTTATGCATGGATTTGGAACCCTTGGCCATATGAGTGTATAAACTCTCTCTCGGGTACTCTCGGGTATAGCCCTCATCCGCATGTACTCTCACGGGCTACACCACTTTTCTCTCTCATACTCAAGCCGCTCTCTCTCTCTTTGTGGCGTACATACGGGAATACTCTACCCATTACTCATGGGTTCCCCATCGCACAACCTACTCTATTATCTTTTTCTCTCTTAATGAAGCTCACACTCAAAGTTCTCTACTCTTTCTCTACTCTCTCTCTAATACAATTAATGCATATGGATGACTCATGCTCATTAATGCACTCATAAAATGTAATTATGCCATGTAGCACAAATTAAGGCTTTCTACTCTTACTTATGCTTCTCTTGAGCATTTCATCAAACAACTCATGTGCATACAAAACTCTATTTTAACAATAACTTTTCTTTTCTCTTTAGTCATCCAAACGTGGGAGAAAAACTCCCTCATACACTCTAAACTCATGTCAAAGAAAAACACTCCTATAGGGTTTGCTCAAAACTTCCTTCAACTTCAATTAAAACTCAACTCAACATCATAAAATCTCAACACTTCTCATATTAAAATCTATTCAATACTTTTCAATATCTAATAATCTCATCTCAACAAACATAATACATACACATTCATTCATTCATTCATACATAAATCTCTACTCAAAGGAGTTCTTACATCTCAACTTGGGTTGGATTTACTTACCTTGTGAATAAGTGGCTTCTCTAACACTTCTCCTTCCCTTTTTGTGGCCTAGCTTTTCTCTACCACTTAGGATACTTTAGATGAAATCTCTACTAAAAATTACCCCAAAAGCTCCCTAAAACTCCTTAGAAATCTTGGAAGATTGAATGGAGGATGGGAAGAAAATAGAGAATGAGGATGGCGGTGGAAATGGGTGAAATGAAGGGTTTTCTACACTTAATCCCTTATTTAGCTCATATTATAACCACTCTTTCCCATTTTGTTCCCATTTTGCCCTTGCTCTTCCTTGAAAATTCCATCTTTGTCCTTTGATATTATCACCACTCTTTCCCATTTTGCCCTTGCTCTTCCTTGAAAATTCCATCTTTGTCCTTTGATTCATTACAAACACACCCCCAACTCCAACACATTCTCTACTAAATTTCCTCACATTTTACTCCCCACTTTTCCTGCTAATTAGGGGTAGAATTGTCATTTTACCCCTATGGAGAATTCTCTAGAAACTCAACTAAACTTTTCTGTCGTCCTTTCGCCGAGGCGAAGCAATTTCCGTCGCCTCGGCGAAAACTTACAGAGCTGACACTGCAATTACAAAGCCAACGTCGCCGCGGCGAAGACTGTAATTCCAAGATTTCTCAAGTCCCATCCAATTTCAAGGCAAACACTCAACCCACTCAACATATCATTTCAATTATGTTAGTGTATATTAGTGTATGCCCTAGAAACCATTCGTGTTGTCGGTTTCAGAGCATTTTGTCTTGTATCTATATATATCATAAATAATAGAAGAAAGAGTTCTTCAATTCATATATGTAAATTGCTTCCTTTATTCAGTCATGCATTTAAAATAAAGTATGTATATGAATTGTCCAGATGATTCATTTAATAGGTAAATGAATTATCGAAAAGGGTTCCCTATAGAAGCAATATAAATTTGGGCAACTATATTGCACAGTAGGCATATCGGATGCTTTTGAAAGATATCATGAGTTGATATAAGTACGGATGACGATGATAGTCATGTCACTAGGGCATTGGTATGGATTAACGGTTGGTGAACTGTTTTGCAAATGTGACCGAATAACGATAAATCACTTGGAAAAGCATGTAGTCAATGATTTATCATTTGGTTATATCAGTGCACGATGTAGTCCTTTGACCTGAGACATTGTAGTCGGATCCGATATGGATGCGTATGGTTCATACGGTGTATAAGTACGAGACTAATCATGTTTCGTATAATAAAGCCAAGTTGGTCATGCGTTGTTCATATGCGGAAACGAACGATGATCAAGAGGGGATCCATTGACTCGGAAATATAGGATCGGGAGTACCGCTGACTCCATCCGGATTCGAGTTCCTAAACGAACATCGATAAATATAAAAAAAAAAGAATCTCTAGCCAGAGTCTATTATTAGTCATACAAAAGCAAGTTTGTGATGACGAGTTCTGGACATAATGATCGAAGATTCGGTAGAAGATCGAGTTTATGATTTTGACGTTCCATGAATCTATGCTCGATCAGGATATCTCAATGGAGAGACTTTACCTGCATGGTACGTATGATCTGAAATGGGTTTGATGAAGTATTTTTTCATCGTGGTTTAGAGACTATGACACATTGCTAGATGTTTACCATAGTCGTTGGGCCTCTAGACAGGTTTCCAGATTCATCCAGAACCAACTCACGGCTAATCCACAGTGGACCTACATGGTCACACCAATAGCCTTGAGAAGTTAGAAAAGGATGAGAGAGAGAAATGATTATCCAAAGAGGGCTAGCACCTTCCGAGGGTAATAACGAGATTTCTATAGTAATAGTTACATAGAAAACTATTTGTGACATTTTAAGGATTAAAATGGTCAAGCAATAATTAATTATATTTAATTATTATATCTTAAAGTGTTAAGATTAAATCTTAAAGTGTTAAGATTAATAAGATGAACAAAAATAACCTTTTAATAGTTAAAGGGTAAAAGGGTAACTTTATGGGTTGTCATTGTAAACTAGTTTAGTTTACATGGGCCCTTGAATAATATTGATTATTCAAAGGGTAGCATAATAAATTCGTGAGGTCCCTTTATAAAATAAGATTTTATTGGGCTTGGAAGTGAAAAATAAATGATTACAAAATTGCCCAAGTATATATAAACACAAAAGGTTGCATTTTTGTTCATAACACACATTGTTCACTCAAAGTAAAACTAAAACTCTCTCTAAAAGCCACGACAACTCTCTAAACTTCTCAAGGTGGTGTTAAAGTGTGGAGGTCTCATTACTTTAAGGCTAATCTTCATCAATCCAAAGCAAAGGAGTAGGTATAATCTCTTTTCCAAACTTTGTTTGAAAACCGGTTTTAGAATCCATGCTTTCATTCTCCATCTCCACCACTCTTCATGCATGCTGATTCTTTCAAATTAAAGGGCAACCAACCAACCATGACAACATACAAACTCAATTGAAGCTGAATCAATGAACATTTAAGTAATACAGCAAATCTTAACTACGTACCTCAAGTGGGGCGTTACACTATGAGACAGCCATAGATCTAGTCGTGAAACAGGTAGGTCTTTGGCCATGAAACAGTCGGCGTTACATGGCCAAATCTATGGCTGTGAAATGGCCAGCGTTTCATAGCCAAAGACCTAGCCATTTCACGGCCACATCTTTTGCCGTGAAACAACCATGGCCAGATCTATAGTAATGCTGGCATCACGGCTAGATCTGTGACACTGTTGGTGACCGCCGACCGTGATGGCTAGCTATCGACAGTGGCTTGGGGTGGGTAGGGGTGTTTTTGTTAAGTTTAAAATGTTTTCGATTGCCAGGGTGTTTTTGCTAAATCTGAAAAGTTGGGGATTAAAAGAAATTATTCAAAAAACAATAATAATAAATACTATTATATTAATATTTAAGCAGAAGGGCAATTTAGTAATCTATATAATATACCCACCCATTTATCCTCCCAACCAAACATATTATTCACCAATTTATTCAAACCAACTAAACACATTTTCGAAACATTCTCAATAATCTTTAAGGTGATTTTTTATTCTGTTAATATAATATCCCCCTATAATAAAACAT